AAGAACAAACCTGGAGGCATCACGCCACCTGACTTCAAACTATACTACAAGGCTATAGTAATCAAAACAGCATGCTACTAGTACCAAAACAGAGATATAGACCAACGGAACAGAACAGAGGCCTCGGAGGAAACACCACACATCTACTACAACCATCTGATCTTTGACAAACCTCAGAAAAACAAACAATGGGGAAAGGATTCGCTGTTTCATAAATGGTGTTGGGAAAACTGACTAGCCACGTGCAGAAAGCAGACACTGGACCCCTTCCTGACACCTTACACTAAAATTAACTCCAGATGGATTAAAGACTTAAATATAAGACCTAACACCATAAAAACCCTAGAAGGAAATCTAGGCAAAACCATTCAGGACATAGGCGTAGGCAAGGACTTCATGACTAAAACACCAAAAGCATTGGCAACAAAAGCCAAAATAGACAAATGGGATCTAATTAAACTTCCAGAGCTTCTGCACAACAAAAGAAACAATCATTAGAGTGAACTGGCAACCAACAGAATGGGAAAAATTTTTGCAATCTTACCATCTGACAAAGGACTTACATACAAAATCTACAAAGAACTAAAATAGATTTACCAAAAAAAAAAAAAAATTCAAAAGTGGGCAAAGGAAATGAACAGGCACTTTTCAAAAGAAGGCATATGTGCGGCCAACAAATATGTGAAAAAATATTCATCATCACTAAATGCAAATCAAAACCACATCGAGAAACCATCTCAGGCCAGTTAGAATGGCAATCATTAAAAAATCTGGAGACAACAGATGCTGGAGAGGATGTGGAGAAATAAGAACACTTTTACACTGCTGGTGGGAGTATAAATTAGTTCAACCATTGTGGAAGACAATGTGGCAATTCCTCAAGGACCTAGAAATAGAAATTCCATTTGACCCAGCAATCCCATTACTGGGTATATATCCAAAGGATTATAAATCGTTCTACTATAAGGATGCATGCACACATATGTTCATTGCAGCACTGTTTACAATAGCATAGACTTGGAACAAACCCAAATGCCCATCGATGATAGACTGGACAGGGAAAGTGTGGCACATATACACCATGGAATACTATGCAGCCATCAAAAACGATGAGTTCATGTCCTTTGCAGAGACATGGATGAATCTGGAAACCATCATTCTCAGCAAACTGTCACAAGAACAGAAAATCAAACACCACATGTTCTCACTCATAGGCAGGTGTTGAACAATGAGAACACATGGACCCAGGGAAGGGAGCATCACACACTGAGGTCTGTGGAGGGGGACTAGGGGAGGGACAGTGGGGGGTGGGGAGTTGGGGAGGGATAACATGGGGAGAAATGCCAGATATAGGTGATGGGGATGAAGGCAACAAACTTGGTACATTGCCAAGTATGTACCTATGCAACAATCCTGCATGTTCTCCACATGTACCCCAGAACCTAAAATGCACTTTTATATACATACATATATATATATATATATATATATATATGTATGTATATGTGTGTATATTTTATATATATATAAAATCCCACTGTTTAGAGTGGAGATGCATTAATAAATTCTGAGATTTAAAAATATATATAAAAATAAAATAAAAATAAATATATAAAAAGTGTTGCATATGTATTCTCATCTTCTGTTCTAATGTTAATTTCATATTCTAGGTTAATTTGTCTTTTTTTTGGAGATAGAGTCTCGCTCTGTCACCCAGGCTGGAGTCCAGTGGAGCAATCTCGGCTCACTGCAACCTCTGCCTCCTGGGTTCAAGAGATTCTCCTGTCTCGGCCTCCCGAGCAACTGGGATTACAGGTGTAAGCCGCCATACCTGGCTAATTTTTTGTATTTTAGTAGAGACGGGGTTTCACCACGTTAGCCAGTTGCATCTCGGACTCCTGAGCTCAGGCTATCTGCCTGCCTCAGCCTCCCAAAGTGCTTGGGATTACAGGCGTGAGCCACTGCGCCCAGCCTAATTTGTCTTTTCTAATATGTAGCATTTGCCTCTTTCTTCTTTCTGATCAGGACCATCTAGAACTTCACCTTTCAGTGGATGCCCTACCCTTGACCTCTGTCAGCAGTAGGATCCTGGAAAGAGCCTATCCAGACCCTAGGCCCCATGGCTTAATAACAGCCTTGTCAAAGATGTGAGCCACTTGAGAGCAGGGTGAGGACAGCATCTTGTTCAATTTGTATCCCCAGCGTCTTCCCAGGACAGTTGGCAAGTGATCAGCAAATGCTTTTTGAGTAAATAAGTGAATAAAGGAGCAAATAAATTGACTAACAGTGGAATACTCAGAGTCTAGGTTTCCTCAGTCATAAAAGGGTGATAAATGCCTACCTATAAGGTGACCCTAGATACTGTAGGTGGTATTACTGCCTCAAGAGAGACAATCTTTTTTTTCTTTTTTTTTTATTGCATTTTAGGTTTTGGGGTACATGTGAAGAACATGCAAGATTGTTGCATAGGTACAGACATGGCAGTGTGATTTGCTGCCTTCATATGTTCTCTCTCATAGGTGGGTGTTGAACAATGAGAACACATGGACTCAGGGTGGGGAGCATCACACACTGGGGTCTGTCGGAGAGACAGTCTTAAAATGCAGTCTCACTATTCTGTTCTTAAGCCTTGGCTGGTCATGTACCATAAGACGTGTTTCCTCAGTATCCTAAACTCAGGATATTGAAAAGGTAGATGAATGTGTGGTTGAAAAATGAAGGAATTTTATAATATTATTCTTAAATAACCAATGCAAATATAGGTTTTTAGTTTTCTAACTTGCTGTAGGGAGAACAGCTGATAGAGCAATTAGATCTGTTCCCTTGAAGACTTCCTTAAACAATGAGGATGTATTTTTGTGACATAAGTCCTGAGAGAAGTGTACTACCCACTTTCCAGCAACGAAACATTTGTAAACATTTTTCTGGATTCCCCTCTCGTTTTTGGAAGCCATTTTGAGAAAGGGTGACTTGCAGAGTAAAGATTACGGGATATTACCTTATACTTTATTTTTGAGGTCACTCAGTATTTGTCTTCCTTTTCCGTGTTAACTAAAATAATAAATCTTAACTCTACATACAACTATGACTCTCTTTTTCCTTTCTCTCTTTCTCCACCTTCCCTCTTTCTCTCTCTCCTTGTTCATCTAGCCAAAATGATGCTATATGTTTGAGATTCTATTCACCCAGGAGTTGCAACTCTCAATGCAGGCTGCCACTCGAATGAAATTAAAAGGCCCCATCCCAATGGGACACTGTGTATTTTCTCCTACTGGTAACAGCAGGCTGTTGGAAAAAGATGAGAAATCATGTACATTTGGTCACTGATATCTATTTATCTTATTCAAGATGATTCAAGATTATACATCAATCATCTTCAAGATTAAACAACAACAAATTCCATCTACAATGAAACCCAGTGGAGAGCAAGCTGAAGATTTTTCATAGTCTTAAAATCATATTTTAATAAATGTTTTGGAAATGCCAACCATCAGGTTCTTTTTGTTTTTGTTTTTAAGTATTGAGATGCAGATAATCTAACCACTAAACTCACACAGCAAACCCCTAAAAATAAAGATTCTTATGTAATGTGATTTAAAGATGTAAAGTAGCTAACAAGCCATATAACACATTTTCTAAAATAACATAAAATATAAAGTCAAACAATGAATGAATAAACATTAATGAGAACACCAGAAGTGGCAAGGCAGATCTTATTTTAAAAACTTCAAAAGCTGTTTGTATAGATTACAGATAGCAAAAAGAGTGAAGAACTCACTTTAGGGCAATGCGTCAGTTTTTACAAAATTAGAAGGATCTTATTTATTGCCTAAATAAATAGTCTCAAACTCGAAATACTCCCAAGACATGATTAATCCAGATAATACAGCATTTTAGTATTTATTTATAGCCTGACTTACCATGGCATGTGTATAACTATGTAACATACCTGCACATTCTGCACATGTACCTCAGAACTTAAAGTACAATTTAAAAAAAACTTAAGACTTATAATTAAAACCCTACAGTTAATTTCAAAAACCCTGATAAAATATACAATCGAAACACCAATATATTTTCATTATATAAATTCATTTTAATTTTTAAATTATGGAAATCCAAGAGTCTATGGTAAATTTACAGTTTGTCAAAACCATCATATGAAACCACCTGTCTAATAACAGAAGATTGTTTAAATACATCAATGTAATTTTGTCAACAATATACATCTTCCATACATGCACATACATACATTTTCTAGAATATGTAACACTGGAAAATGTTCATGAAATACAGAAAATGCAAGTGGTTACTAAAGGTTTACACAAAAGTATACAATTTTGACTTTTAAAAATATGTATAGACAGGTATAGAGGAGGGAAATCAAACATTGGAATTGTAAGTTTTCTGCAATGAATGAGTTTTACAAGGTAGAAAAACGTATTTTTAATACAAATGCATATTGTTTTTATAATTATATTCCTATATGAAAGACCATCACTGCTACTCAAAACAACAGACACTCTGTATGTGAGTCATAATAGAGGATCTACTATCACTCTTCTTGACTTAACAAGTTTTATCAAGATTTTAATGTTTTGTAGGACAGAGTTTCACCTTAGGCCAACCCATGGAAACAAGAACCCATATCCTAGTGATGTCCATCGTATACCTAATGGAGTCTACTTAAAGGTGTCTTTCATTTAGGGATGAATAGTATTTTATCATCCCTTAAAAATAGTATTACAGAGCCTGAAAAATTATTCTACAAATCACAGATCCTAAGATATCATAGAGCTGGCCATGTAAAAAATTATATTTGAATCTTGAACAATGAGTTGGAACTGCCTAAGTCCTTATATATAGGGAATCTCCTCTGAGAGAGCAAGACCATCTATTCCCTTCCCTCTCCTCCTCCTTGGCCTGCTTGACATGAAGATGACAATGATGAAGATCTTTACTGAAGATCCTCTTAATGAACGGTAAATATATTCCTTCTTCCTTATGATTTTCTTAACAACATTTCATCTTCACTAGCTTACTTAAGAACATAGTACATTATACATAAACATACAAAATATGGGCTAATTGTGTTATTAGTAAGACTTCTGATCAACAGCAGGATATTAACAATTAAGTTTGGTAGGAGCCAACAGTTATACATGTATTTTCTATAGTGTAAGGTTGTCAATGTCCCTAACCCTTGCATTGTTCATAGCCACTCGCCCAAGGAAGATAAATAATTGAAAATATATGTATATATTTTCCAAAGAATTGTATTAACAAAACGAATTACACTCTTCTGCAGGACAAACAGTTGCCAAGACATGTTTTTTTGTTCAGGCCTCTGCTAGACAGATATCCTAAAGTAACAAGATCCTGACACAAAACAATAATAGAAGATTAATAATTAAAATACAGATTTTTTCAATGCCATTCATGTATAAAGTATCTCCAAAAGAAACAAATTTCATGAAATTATTTTTATAAAAAATATAAAACTGCTCCACATTCAATCATGAAGGATACAGAATCATCTTAATCAAGGATATTTTCATTTTGGAGTTATAAAATTAAATAGATGTCTTGTAGCTAGGAGAAACAGGAAATTAGAACTAAAACATTACACTCCAAATTAGCAATGGAAAGTAAGAAGTGATGTGATTATTTTATGCCAATTTTTTGCTATTAAAAATACATATATCACAAAACTAATATGACTAAATTATTTCAGCAGAGGCGACAATAACAGTTTTAATAGAACTGAGCAAAATTAAATTACCACTTGTTTATGTAACATTCCAAGGTTTAAAATGAGCTTTCTTTTTGAGAAATTGTCTAAGTGTAAATGTTCTATAGTAAAGATTCTTCACCCTCCCCCACATCAGGATACCTACTTATACATCAGGTTTCTCAAGGTGAGATCCATATATCTTCTGGGGAAAGTGAGGAGTGCCAAAGATAAGAACTCCCAAGGAAAACTACAGCACGCACCATAAGTTTACTCTATGGAGTAGAATGCTTAAAACAAAATCTGACACATAAGCACCAACATGCTTAAAAGCCTTGCATTTACCATAATGTTTCTGACTCTCCATCTTTTCTTAGTCTATCTCTTTTGCCGAGAAGCCCCTACCCTACTCCCACTCTGAACCCTCTACCCCACTCCCACTCTGATACTTTTCAGATAACTGACTGTTTAACTTCAATCCTGGTATAACATCCAAAAGAAAGCCTTCCTGAATTTCCCAGGCAGTGGCCCCCTTTGTACTCCTGGGATACCTGGGAACAAGGCCACCACTCCTCTCTCACTGGATGCTCTGGCATCTGAAGCACCTCTCATCCCCTACAGGAAGGGCAGGGCTACCCCACCAGTTGTTTATCATTAGCAAACAACAAATGTCACCAAAACTGAGTTAAAGCTAGGAGGTCCACTATGATCACTGGGAAGATACTGGCAAGTTATCTACTAACAAAGCTCAAAAACAATGTTAATAATAACACTTCGCATAAAGACGCTTCTTGTCAGAAATCTAAAGAGGAAAAGCAAAGTTTCGGTTTTGCAGAACACATCCTGGACCTGCTACCTGACCCTGGCCAAATCACTTAACCTTTCTGAGCCTGTCATTTCCTTGTTTTTAAAATGAGAACAGGGCTAGCACCCACTACATTAGGTTAGCGAGTATTAAATCAGTCACGTGGATGAAGTTCTCAGCCTAGTACCTAACAAGCAGCAAGTGTTTACTGAGTGCCGCTATCAATCAAGATCTTGAATGTGACAAATCCCATAATTTTCACATGTAAACTTCAGATCTACAGAATAAAACTCTCGTTAGGCAAGGAAATAAAAAGAGACAAATTTTAAAAACATTTTTATATGTTATATTAATCAAAGAAAGCCACTGTTGCTGTAATAAAGTATGATCTCTGTATATTTGCGAAAATGTTATTCAAGGTACTAAGAAGTAATTTGATGAACTTAAAATACTGATGAAAACTAAAATCTGCTGTAAATGTACAAATGATTTTGCTAGTTTCATTACTTTCTGTGTGTACCCCTCTATATATGCACATTATATAAACTGGAAGAAAACTATATCAATGTACAATCAGCAACTTCTCACTTGAAGAAGATGGACATCTGTGAAATAGACATCTGGGAGAGAAAAAAAGTGATGTTTTTCTGCAGTGCCATTCATCAAGGTGTCACATGTATGCTGTGGCGTATTAAGGCTATTAAGGCACAGTTTTCTACATGTTAATGTATCAGGAGCTTAATATAAAACTACCATTAATTGTAATTTGCCAAAGGGATACTTAGGAACCATATAAACCTATGAAATTGTTTTTCACAATCAAAAAGACAGCTTCTTGAAGTAGCCTAATGTATATGGTAGCATTTACAAAAATGCTATCTCAGTAGCCTATGTATGTGTGTGTACATAAAAATATTCTTGTTAGCAAAACAAAAAATTGACTTTTCCCCAACTCTCTAATGCAAGAAATTAGAGATTAAATGACCTAGTAATTCAAACAGTCTGTGGTAAAGGAGCCTTTCTTATATATGCTTATATTTTCAATGAAAAAAACACACATTAAGCAAGACTCTGTGTGTGTGTTAGGGGTACTTTTTGTTTGCAATCTAGAAGGCACAGTATTACAGGCTCCTAATAGGAACAACTGCTATTATGGAGAAGGATTAAAAACCTTCACCAGGAAGAAGTCGAAACCCTGAATAGGCCAATAACAAGATCTGAAGTCAAGGCAGCAATTAACAGCCTACCACCCAAAAAAAGCCCAGATTCAGATGGGTTCACAGCCAAATTCTACCAGACATACAAAGAGGAGCTGGTACCATTCCTTCTGAAACTATTCCAAATAATCCAAAAAGAGGGAATCCTTCCCAAATCATTTTATGAGACCAACATCATGCTGATACCAAAACCCAGCAGAGACTCAACAAGAAAAGAAAACTTCAGGCCAATATTCATGATGAACATAGATGCAAAAATCTTCAATAAAATACTGGCAAGCTGATTGCAACAGCACATTAAAAAGCTTATCTGCCATGATCAAGTAGGCTCCATTCCGGGGATGCAAGGCTGGTTCAACATATGCAAGTCCGTAAACGTAATTCATCACACAAACAGAACCAAAGACAAAAACCACATGATTATCTCAATTGATGCAGAGAAGGTCTTTGACAAAATTCAACAGCCCTTTATGCTAAAAACCCTCAATAAACTAGGTATTGATGGAATGTATCTCAAAATAATAATAATAATAAAAAGAAAACCTTCAGTGACAATTTCATATAGCTTGAACATTCTGAATCAAAATGTTATATATTCATAAATACTCTAAACATCCATAATCCTATAATAGATAATGGAGGAAGGGGTGGCGTGTGTGTTCCAAAGCAGATCTGGCACATGTGGAGGAAAATTCTTAGCAAATACTTTTCAATCAAAAAAGTACATTTTCTTTTATCTTATAATGAGCTTACCAAAATGGTTCTTTGTTAAATCTTCATTTGTAAACCTTTAAAATTAGAAGCCATTCATTTCTGTAGTTAAAAAGTGTTAGTATAATCCAAGACAAACCCATTTATTCTACTGAAATGAGTACCTACGTTTTTTAATATTATCACCCTCATTTTCATCCTCTATAGTTAAGATAATCAGATTCCTTTACATAAGGTATATCTCTCAATATAAATTCATTATACTATGAAATGGCTGGACTATACATCTCTTTTAACATGGTACATATAACATGGAAGTTTCCCCCAAGTCGTAACTTCAGTTATACAAATATAATCCAAACACATATTCCTCCAAATATAATACTTTTTTGTGTTATCTAAAAATTATAAACTTCTTCCTAAAAGAATCTAGGAAAATCTCAACATGATCAGCTTTTATGTGACATAAAACAAAGCCTCCATCAAAGGCTCTTCATTTAACATTAATTACTTCTGCTAAATGATACCATATTTATTATATTGATTTTTCTGTTTTTCAATCTCCATTACACCTTTTCCTTTTCAGCTGACATTTTAAAAGAAAGTGCAACCGTGACGTCAGTCACTTTAGTTCCCGGCATGTTAAAACCAAGGCAAAGGTTTGATGAGGAGGGTCAGAAAAAAGTGAGTAAACATAGAGAATAGAAATTCTTACCTTTTAATTTATGCTGTTGTAAGGAAAAAAACAAGTATCTTTAAATTGTGAAAATGCACTGAAAGTATCCTCTTTCAAAGGACTATATTTACTTAACTATGTGTTTCCAACACAAGGTAAATCCCTTATTAAAATGCCATGCCTCAGTTCTTTGTTTGCTAAATTTAAATTATATGAAGCTATTTAATCACTGAGGTTATAAAGTAGTAGTCTTAGAATCTCAAGAAAACAAAAGGCTTGCATTTTCAAGACTCTTATAGCTATGCTTATAACTAATCCATTAGAGTACCTGGCTAATAAGTTAATATTTAATTTGCAATTTCCTTTAAACACAGTAATAACATACCAAGAAGAGTATTTCCATTAGCCAAGTTTGATCTTGGAAAAAGAAAACATCTACAAAAACACTAAGTAGATCATATAAAATAAGCTAAATTACAATTTACACACACATACACATACACAGCAAAAATCATTTTTCAAGCATCATTCATTCAGATCATTTTACCAGGAGACAGCTATAAAAAGAAATAAATTCATGTTTGAATGAATTGATCATTGAAATGCTTCTGCTAATCTAGGATTTGGGTCCAACTTTGTTACATAGTCCTCTCTCTTTTTTTATTTTCTGACCTATTCAACTTAAATATCATCTGAAAAGATTATAAGCTGGTTTTCTTAGAACAACTACACCCAACATTTGACTAAATGTGTTTGCTTCCTCTACCTTGTCCTCACCATGGGTTTTTAAAGAGAAAAAAATGAAAGTTAATAATTTGAACATTTTGTAATCTAGATATAATTTTTAGAATGTATCAGACCACATAGTTCTTACATGTTCCTTATAGAAGTTAAGATTTTTATCATCGATAGGTGATACACATCTGCTTGGGTTATATGTAGGATCTACACTTCCCCCACAACAAAGGATTCTAGTGACCTTTGGTTCTACTATTCACAAATGGCAGACACATTTACGAAACTAAGGGATAAACAAATGAGTACCAATAAATTTTATATGTGCCAAAACAAACGAGTCATCAATACATCTTTCACTGCTGTCCAAGTATCAGAGTTTAAAGAGTTTTGTTCTTTTAAAAAAGGGACTATCGTGGTACAGGTGGAAATCTAAAAGTCAGCTCCCACATTCTCCATATTTTCTGGTGTTCCAGACCCCTTTGAGAAACAGATACAAGCTGTGTACCCCACTCTCCCATGTAGTATGTATACACACAGAATGTTACATGTCATTTCAATCGGCTCACAGAAACCTCCGGGTTAATAATTTATAAACCTTAAGAATGGCAATATCATGTACAGGGGAGCTACATCTTTACACACAATCAGCTTATCCAGTGTAATTACAGAGGCTGGAGCCAGGTGAGCATTCAGGATGAGAAAATAAGGCAGGAATAGGTGCAAATGAGGAACTGGTACACAGTGGTAGAGGAGGAACCCTGGGCTTTGCTTTGTTTCCTTCTAAACAGGAAGAAAAGGTAGTACAGCAAAGTGAAAGGAATTTCGTAGTGAGAGGGGCTGAGAAGAAAGGGAATTTTCTATGGCAAGACTGCTCAAGTACAAAAACATAAAAGGGATATCTTAAGTCATTTAGTAAAACCTTGGCAATACAAAGACATTGCTTCTCTCCCCCTACTTTACACTTTATTATCGTTTTGCTTATTTAGCATCAGGCACTGTTCAGAACTTTGGAAAAACAAAATTATATAATTAACATTAATAATTTTTATATATATATATGTATACTGTACACATGTTCTTTGTCCTACGTAACACTATGTGCTTTCTTCGTTAAACAAAACAAAAAAAAAAGCTCCAACTGCAAGTGAAACACAATAACATAGTTCAAGATCTATACACTGTGTAACTGCCTTCAGTGTGCTCATTACTTTTCCTACTCTATGATTTGTGTATTAAAGGCTCTTACGATAAAGCTAAGGTGCTTCTAGGCAAAACAACTCAGCCAAAAGCATCACAAAAATTGTATTAGTATATATTCTTCAGTAAGAAGCCCATTTTTCCCTTAAGAACCTTAAAAAAGAATTATAAGCTTATATTAACTATATATAAGTATATATATTAATATAAGTATATATATTAATTATATATACATTTTATATATCTATAAAATAAGTATATATGTATTAATTATATATATAATAAATGCTTACATTAATTATATTAATATATTAATAATTTATTATTTAAATAATAAATTTAAATTTAATAATAAATCTAATAATAAATGCTTATATTAATATATTAATATATATAATATGCTGACATATTAATATCATCTCTATTGGATTTAGGATGTGTTTGGATTATAAAAAGAAACATACTTTGAATCAGTTTGAAATATTTTGATTCTGATTGAAATTTTTCCAGTTCACAGAGTAATTAACTGGGTTTATGAGAGAATTTTTAAAAAATCTTAGTACTAGGGATTTTAATAGATGTTTTCAGGTAAGTGTTCATCTTAATTATATAATGCTAACATTGCTTATAACACAATATTAAGTATGGGTTGGCAAGAAATACTAATGGTGAGTTATACACTATACCCATGAAGTCTAGGACTCCATAATAATGTGTATGATTCTGGCCACAGCTGTCACCCTCATAGACTGCCTCCTCAGGATGCCACTCAAGGCCCCTTGCAACATTAACACCCTGAATTGTAATTATCTTTGTGTGTTTTTCCCCTTCTAGATTGTAAGCTCCAGGAAGACAGAGACTATGAATTAACTATGGTGTATTCTAGCACCTGACAATAAATCTCTGCTAAATATAAACAATGAAGTGTTTGTTTTCAGATAACCTTCCAGTAGAAGTTGGAGATTTTATTTTTAAAAATCTTTGCATTTTTAGCAAAGATAATATATTTCCAGAACAAATTTTAAAGAAAAATAGAGACTCTCTAAATTGATAGCCCACATCAGTTATCCAGAATCAATTTAGACATAAGAGTCCTCAGTTTCAGAATTAAAGTGCTAAACCGTTCATCACTTTGAATAAAAATCTCCAGGCTACGATATTCTTTTCTTTTTTAAATGTAACATAATTTAACATTCTGTCAATGACTCAATAATAATTACAAACATTATCATTAGACAGGACTTTGAAGAAGCCAAAGAATGAGCATTCCAGATTGAACCTTGCCCAGAAGTAGCTCTGCAAGCTACTGCCCTTAGGGGCCTGTGAGATCGTGAGTAATTAATAGGAAATTGTGGGCTCTGGTTTAATCACAACTCTGACACCTTATCGTCTGAATCCTGGACAAGTTAAATCTCTCTGGTTCACCAACTCTCCAACTGTTAAATTGGAGTCAATATCACCTGATCCGGGACTATCACAGAGGTTCATGGCCTTCAGGGGCCTTCCTTCTCCTTCCATTCTTATAAGGTGTACCTTACTTTTAATGGTTACTGAGGTATAGGTAACCATATTTTCTGAACCAAAAATTGAGAGACATAACCAGATAACTACTCTAAAGTTTTGTTTTGTTTTGTTTTTGTTACTCAGGCTGGAGTGCAGTGGCAAAATCTTGGCTCACTGCAACCTCTGCCTCCCAAGTTCAAGCAATTCTCCTGCCTCAGCCTCCTGGGTAGCTGGGACTACAGGTGCATGCCACTATGGCCAGCTAATTTTTGTATTTTTAGTAGAGGTGGAGTTTCACCATGTTGGCCAGTCTGGTCTTGAAGTCCTAACCTCAAGTGATCCACATGCCTCGGGCCACCCAAAGTGCTGGGACTACAGGCATGAGCCACCACACTCAGCCCCTACGGATTTCCTGAAATAATGAAAACAGCCTGAAATCTTGGGATATGCCACGTGTGGTATTCACATGGCATATCCCAAGATTTCAGGCTGTTTGCATTATTTCCTTTCAGATAGGAGAAATAAGTTCTAGTGTTCTGTACCATTTGAGGATGACTACAGTTAACAATATTGCATTAGATAGTCTCAAATAGAAGGAGGATACTAAATGTCCAATACAAAACAAGATAAATGTCTGAGATGATGAACATATGAATTACCCTGATCTGATCACTATATATATATTAAAACATCACTATGTACCTAATGAATACGTATAATTATTCACCAATTTAAATTATTGAAAAATTTATAATTTAAAACTGAAACATTAAAAATTTAAAAACTGAAATTATTTGAACTCTGAGCCTTTACCTCCATAATGCTTGTTCTATTATTTCCATTCATTTATAGAACTGTACCTATTCACTCCAGCTTTCATCTGCTCAAAGGTTACAGAGTTTCAGGCACTGCGTGTGGAGACGACAGTGGTGAAGAAAATGGGCACAGTTCCCACAGCTGTGGAATTTACCATCTAGACTCAAAGAAGTCAGAGCCATTTAACCAAAAAGTTCCCCCTATAAACAATTACAAACTGTAATAACTGCTGTGGAGTATGTGAGAGAATCAACAACAGGAAAACCTGACTGCAGAGGATGGTTAAAGAGAGAGGGAAGAGCTCGCTTAAGCAGCAGATGGTAGGAAGGGTGACTTAGGCCCTGCTCCAAGGCTCTTGCAGTGTTTCTGTTCACCACATCTTTCCACATTCCGTTCAGCCACTTTTCATTTTCTCCATTTCTCTTTCTTCCCTACTACCCCCCAACAACGAGATGCAGTTGAAAAGTGGTCAGACTTTGAATCCGAAGACCTAGTACTGAGTGTCATTTACAAAGGTGACAATGTTGTCTTGCCTTCCTGTGCTCCGTCCATAAAGTGAACAGGACACTGCTTTAAACCACCACACCTGAATTCCTCAACACGTGAGACGGCATATGCCAAAGCCCTGGACGACCATGAGGGCCTAATCAACAGTGTGCAAATTTACTTTTCCTACAACATATTTCTTTTGTATTCTTTTCTGCTTTTAGTGATCTCTTTAGGACTGCTGGCATTGTCTGAAAAGCAGAGATTTTAAATCCCCAAGTCGAAGTTCTGTTTTCTTCCTAGTCAGAATTTGGACCCATCACAACATACCTTCCATCCATTTTTTCAGTCACTTATTCACGTAATAGACTTCAAAATACACATATGTATCAAAGTCACAGGCGTCGGGGGATAGTGTTTTTTAAATGAAATTACGGCACTACTCATAATCACTAAAGTCTAGACTTTTCATATATCTCTACATCGCGTCTCACCTGTAATTTCAAAGCGGTAAAAATACTCTTCCATTCAAATTGTATTCAGTCTCTCATGTTAATGAAAAATGAACTGTGTTACAGATAAAAAATTCTAAAGAAGATCTCACATGTCGAAATTAATGCCTAACTTTATTCATATCATTTCAAACATATGCCCTTACAATTAGTCTAGAATTTGAATCTAAGTTTTATAACTTCTGGGTAAGGTGAGAATTTAGTAAATTGCCTACCCATTTTAGTTTACTTCTCTGTAAAGCACCATAGTATTTATAATCTATATAAGATTGTAATGAAAACTATAGTCTTGTAAAGCACCAAACACAGTGCTCAGTATGTTCTTCCCTCCTGCCATTCTTACATTTCTTGATTAATCCCTTTAAATAACTCAAGGAGCTTTGCCATACTACTATACCTCGGTGTGCTGGAAATGAAACATGCCCTTTTCTCCCATGCCTTGCCTGACTGACACATTGCTTTGGGGAGCACTGAAGCCATCAGTTTGGGTTACAGAATTGGAGATTACAGGAATCAATTTTAGAAGAAATATTTAGGGAAAAGTAATCCTCTTTGCTTCCATGAAAATGGTAATGTTTCTGGAACTATACTGGAATTGGCATGTTCCTATAGCTGTTCCCCATAAAGAATAATGATGCTGAGCCACTCTGAAATTGTAGAGTGAATGCAGAATTTATATTAGATGCCTCTTAACAATCCTTAACAATATGCGCTATGTCCTTACAAAGGCAAAGAAACAATTCCATTTAACAACATCTTTCACATGCATAATACTAAAATTAGCTATTTCCTTTGTTTCATCTTTACAATACTTTCCTATATTGATCCGTGCAGTCATCACATGGCCCAATGTCCCATATGGCCTGACTCACCTCACAGTGAGGTGACTGGTTGACTATCCCTTATTCAAACTGCTTGAAACCAGAAGTGTTTTGGCTTTGGAGTTTTTGTTTTGTTTTGTTTCATTTTGGAATACTGGCACAAACATAATGAGATATATTGCATATGGGAACCAAGTCTAAACATGAAATTCGTTTATGTTTTATACATACCTTATACACATAGCCTGAAGCTAGTTTTACACAATATTTTTAATAATTTTGTGCACGAAACGAAGTCATGTACACTAAAACATTAGAGAACAAAGGTGTCACTATCATAGCTGCCCATATGGACAATCTGTGGTTGTTTGAAAACACCAATATTCCTGACTCCGAATCTATATACTACCAATAAGTAATCCTTTTCTTAACACTTACTTCCATGTAAGTACTTAATAATAAAAAATATGAGATACATATCTGGCATGTGCAGAAAAGATACATCACAGCTGAAGGGGGCTAGGAAGGCCTTCTTTCCCTTAGGGATGCTGAATATACTGTGTTGAGCACCTGCATTTTGACTGTGACTGCTCACATGAGGTCAGGTGTGAAATTTTCCATTTGTGACGTTATATCACAGCTTAAAAAGTTCTGGATTTTGAAGCATTTCAGATTTCAAATTTTCAGATAAGGGATTCTCAACCTGTACTGGTAAAACCAGCTCTAAAATACTCGTCTCCTTGGTTCCTCTATCCAGGATTTCTTAACCTTTTTTTGTGCCACAGATCTTTTTGGCAGCCTGGTAAGTCTATGTATCCCTTCTCAGAATTATGTTTCTTAAGTCTCATAACTAGATTGCCGAGAAATCAATCAGATTGACAGTTATCAAAATATTTTAAAATGTGATACATTAATATACTGCTTTATTAAGGTGGGAAATAACAAGATCTAGCTATAATTAATAAATACTGTAATTTACAGTAGTAACTTAAATATTTTGAGATCTCTACAACCAATGTGATATGAAAATATCTGTAAATTTGTATTAGTAGCAAAGTCACAGTTTTTTGTTGCTACTAATTTTTTTGCCTACATTCATAATCAAGGGAAATGATAAATTTCAGTCAGATATTAATGAAAATAAAAGTATAACTTTTATTTTCCCATCCAAGCTCACAAACTCCTGGAGATTCCAGGCATTGACCCCACCAAGACCCTTGTCAACTCTCCCAAAAAAGCTCACCAATTGATAAAACAGCCACAGAAAATATTTAAGTATTTCAATGTATAACAAAAGTCATCTTTAATATCAAAATTTAAAAATAAAACAAAAATACCCAGAAAATTGTACATCTCATAAATTCAAACCTTTTATTTCCTAACCTCCACCAATATTAGTATTCCAAATATTTGTATACATTTCGAAAAAGATTTCAGGAGGCAGGGCATGGTCGCTCATGCCTATAATCCCAGCACTTTGGGGGGCCGAGGCGGGTGGATCACTAGGTCAAGAGATCGAGACCATCCTAGGCAACATGGTGAAACCCCGTCTCTACTAAAAATACAAAAATTATCTGGGCATGGTGGCACAGCCTGTAGTCCCAGCTGCTCAGGAGACTGAGGTAGGAGAATTGCTTGAACCCAGGAGGCGGAGGTTGCGGTGAGCCGAGATCACGCCATTGCACTCCAGCCTGGGTAACAAGAGCAAAAGTCCGTCTCCAAAAAAAAAAAAAAAAAAAAAAAAGATTTCAGGAAATACGGAATTTTAAACACCTAGTCTGTTGAAAATATATAATGTTAGATAAATTTACTTTGGTTTCTAAATCAAACAAAATGATAACAAAGCCGATGTATCCACACACAAGGATATTTACAATTATGAAGAAAGAGAAACTTGTTTCCATGCCTTTCCCCAAATCCTCTTTCTTGTGCCTTTCCAAGAATGCTGTGCACTCATTGCGTGCTCCCTGGCTTCAGTAGAACCCTTTACAGCTCTACCAAGCACACCAAGGTACCCATGTCAGGAGACTTCAAAGCAACCCAAATTCACTACGTGCAGATATAGAGACCACAGTTTCTGAACCCCAAATAGAAAGACATGAATTGACAAATATGAGAAGGCTCCTAGAAATGCAGAAAGGACAATTTAATGCATACACAGTGAGTTCTTTCTTCTCGTCTGAATAAGGCTGACCTTCTTGAACTACAATTGGTCTACATGCCCAGTCTCCACACTGTGCACTGAAGGGAAATGTAGTCATTCTTTATCAACTGTATGATGGAAAGGTCTAAGAATTTCTAAGGGCAAATTCAGCTACTCTTTAATGTACTTAAAAAAAAAAAGAATACTAAGATATTCTAGAAGGAAAAAAAATAATTCGCTCTAGAATTCATTTGTAAATTTCAAGACACAAATACCAATTTAATAAAGTCTAAATTGCTAAATTCACACAAAATGAATGTCTCTATTCTCTCATCATTCACAATCCTTGCACACGAAGCAAAAATAAGACCTGCCAAATCATCAAAAAATCCACTTTATTTTCTCTTTCCTCAGATACTTAAATCCAGAGGGACTACTCTCCATCCTGAATATCAAAAGCTAAAATTACCCCCTAAAAAGCCCAGGCAAGAACTATGGCAGAAATTAATTTTCTAGACTATTGTATCAAATAATAACATGACCTTGTACTATATTAGTATTTTGTTCATAAGAGAATAGCTAGGTATATAATTACACAGGCAACATGACTTCAATAACACCAACCTATAAAAACCTATTTCACTCCTATGATTTATGAAGGTTTATTTATTTTCTATGGGGTATGCTAAGTCTGTGTACTATTTTAATAAGTAAGAAATATCCCTTATAAAGGCAGAAAGAGGTATGTTACACTCTATAAACACAGAACTGCATTTTGTCACTTCTAGGTTTACCCATTTAAACAAGTGTTAATGTCACCTGAAAACCACAAAAAGGTTTCAGTGCCTCTACATTTGAGGTACTGTCCAAAAGTAACAAAATACATAATAAATTGGATTTGTCATGAGACTGTGTGCTTCGCTACATTTCAAAAGCTGCCCCAAAGTTAATAGATGGTTTCAATGAATGCAATTGCTTGAGCCAATACAGCACCCCAAATATTATACATATACTTTTGACATACCATAGTTGCTCTGTTAGTCTATGTCATATTACACAAATACAATCATAATGTTAAATCAACAATGCCATAATTTAAGTGAAAATCATAAAATATTAAAAAGCTTAAAGGTATATTTAAATAAACTTTACAAAGTCACTGTATTAAAATTCAGCTTGGGTTGAATGTGAACAATATTACCATACCTGAAGAACTCTAGCTAAGCAATCATGTATAAACATAGATATTAGCCTGAAATTTAAGACAGGCTGCTGAATTGAATAATGAGACCATCAGATTGAGTTCTTCAGTTCATTAGCTTAACCACAATCCCATCCTAATATCCAAAAAATCACAAAAGCAAGTGTAATATACCTCCTAAATTTAGAGAACTACACAAAAGTGTGTCATTATTCAAGAAAGATTTATGCTCAGCATTACTTTAGTGACAGTGAAGGGAGAGCTAGAACAGTCTTTGAAGAAGAAACTCAATTTAAAAAAAAAATTGAAAACCTGTGTTTTTCCTAGGTACAATGCAAACATCTTCAGAAAGAAATACATTCTCCCTTTCAAAAAAAAAAAAAACTGGCAAGAGGGATTTCTGCAAGTTACCTACTATCCTTCCACCTAGAGATGCACCAAAGCAACAGTCTTTCATATGTGCCCTCCTGCTGTATTTCCTCTAAAACCTATCCATGTGCACAAAACTGGTCCCCACATATCATCTTAAACTTCTTCCCTCCCTCAGGTCCCACCGTGCATCAGCCCCACATCTCCCTATTGATGCCTCCTAAATGTCTCTCAGATGCATCACTTCATCACTTCTCCTGATGCCGTTGTTAGGATAGTGGGCCCCTCTCTCTCTACACAATGCCAGTCACCTCTCCCTCTTCCTCTCCACCACACTCCACAGCCCCACAAACCCCAGCTGAGATTCATGCTGTGTCTCTCACCTCTGAGCCTCTGCACACTTGTGGTTTCTGCTTAAAATCCCTTAGTGTGGGAAGAAGATGTGTATAACAATAGTTACTTAGTTCTTGGGTTGGAATGTGCTTTAAGTGTGTACAACTGAATTACTACCTCTTCAAAGAAGAAAATCAAATCGTGGGAAGAAAATAGCTTCCCCACCCTGTCTCTGCTATTGTTATTACATCATAATGATGCATTACTGTCATTAGCAGTAACAAATGACAGTGCTATATTTTTATTAATAAAATAAACATGATACTTTCATATACACAATCATGTATTTAATCCTTTCCTGGCCCTAGCTATTGCAAGCTATATAGGCCTCTGGCACTTTATAGCAATATATAATGGTTTGCTGAATTTCAAATGTCAGGGAGAAACGAAGCAACAGGAAGATGCCTGAAGACGAGATTGGTATGGAAACCAGCACTGGGGAGAGTGAGTTGAAGAAAAGATAGAACACTATAAAAGGCATAAATGAATATTTACGAGACATCCACAGGGAGACCCAGAAAGTGGTTAATCTCAATTCATTAATCTCCTGCTCTATTTGGTCCAGCATGATTTCCCAGAACTTGTTGACACTAGGCTGGGAACATTTTTCCTGGTCCTTAGGGTCCTCACTAGCTTTCCTTCTTGGCCTTTGCTGAGTTTGCTTCTGTGAGCTCCATTCTAGCTTCCCTCTTCGACCCACTTGCTGCCTTTAATTACATTCTGTAAAAAATAGAGTCTGTACTTTTAGAATTCCTGGGAAGAAGTGGGGCTGGTCACACTTGGCAATTACCTGTCTGCAGAGCAAAGAATTATTTCCCTTATTCTGCTTTATGCAAAACTAATCCAGGATGGATTACAAGGGAAAGTATCTAACTCATGATTCTGTACATGGCATTCTATTTGTAATTTTTTTTATTTCAAAATGCTTGTTATAAATTGATAAAATGAAGACCTCT